ACGGCCGATGGCGTGCTCGGCGGGCAATCAGCGGCCGCTGACTGATTGCTTTTTAAATAGGTTTTATGCCCGCTAAAAATGTTTCGAAGGAAATCAAAGAAAGCCAAGCGAAGATTTCGTGTGGGTCGATTGTGTAAATGTGAGCGAGGACAAGTTGTTTTATGGAACGCCACTCTGACGACCGTGACTGGTGGACATGAAATGTTACGATTTTCGTAAACACACCAAACTTAATGGGCACACTTCGACGAAAGCTTTGCAATTTGACATTTTGATAAAAAGCTGGCCAGTAAACCTTAATTTTGTTTAATATTAGTGTACTTAACTCACTAATTTCCATACTACCGGACAACCATACGAATTATTCCAAACGCATACCACATCAATACATATTACCATTTAATTTGTAAATTTAAAATGATTACATTTAATCATAAAACAAATCTTACTAAATATTCAATTTTCGCGATCAGATTATAATCTTTATCATAGTGTTAAATAATATGAAAATGAATTAAATATTGGTAACAATAATATCTTAAATTAAAAAGACGCTTTGGCAAGTATTTCTGTCTTACTATAGATACTAAATTATATCGTAAACATAAATATATACTCAAGATAAATAGATTTCATGTGCTTGTAATAAAACGTATATAAATAATAATAACAGGTAAGTTAGTATCGTCGTTTGTAATTGCTTATAATAAATGTCGATTTCATATTCCTAATTGAAATTGAATAGGTAATTAATAGGTTACAAATAGATATGCTTTCTATTTCCTTAACAGTTAAATACTTGCACCAATTTACGACTGTATTGCATGTAAGGAACCGCCATAAATGGAGATACCACACACAATTTAACACAGGCCTATTAACTGAGCAGACTCGACACCTATCCTATATAAACAATGAGGTATTATAAATTAACTTTAGTACTAGAGCAGACAACGCTTTTTTTGTCATTGTTCCAATCAATGGTTGCAGCACCAGCGCCGCAATGTGCTCGCTGTGCAGTCTCGTATAAACATATGTTTTATTAAACTTTGTTCTTAGATTTTATAATGTAAAAATTATTTTTCCGTGCCTCAGATAGACATTATATTTGTCGTCTATTTATTACCATTACCGCGTTAGCTAAGCATCTTTAGTATGAGGTTCTATTTTAAGCTTTTCTTCTCTTGCGACAGCGTGACGTACTTCATTTTCCTAACGCTACCTGTCAGTTTTTACGACAACTTGGAGACGAAACGGAGTATTGGTATGTATTCCTACATTAGACACAATATGTTTCAATATGTGAAGTCATTTATACCTTTGTTTAAACATGTATCGATATAGAAATGTTACTGTGCGGCAGACGCCTCCTATGGTAGTGGTACATAATATCTCAATGTATAAAGAGTCAGAACTGTGCGTGACAAACCGGAGTTAAGTGGCCGCATGCTACCGTCGCGCGGCCGTGCGGTCGTTACTGTTGCAGACTTGCAACGGATATACTAAATGCATTTTTATTCAAAGATGTGCAATTGTTTATGAGTTGCACTAATCACTTAACATCGCTATCAAGAGCGGACGGTGTGTTGATTTCGCATTAATAATGTATAAACGTTGGGAGAACCTTGAAATCCATGTCTGTAGATAGGAATTAGGAAGGAAGACGTTTAATTATATGAATTAATATACCTATGTATGTATACATTTATCTATGCTGAATAGATTTACACACAACAGTAAAATCAAGGGCTACAACGGAGTAGTAATAGTGAGGTGCGCCCTGGACCATTCGCAATCTGGGCCTATTTCACTACTACTATTTCATGTTCTCCAATATTGCTCCCGATTTTAGTGTAGTTTGATCCTGCTTTTCATCACTTCGATAATATACTTACTATAAGCATTAGTTATTCGATAGCACCTGTTATGTTATGTCGAATGATTGATGGCTGGTACAATGTCGGATAAATAATCTAATGGCTCAGATTAATGATATGGGAAGTTGCACAATAAATTAATTTATTATAGATATTGGTACTTCAATGCACACTTAAACGTTAAACGTTTTAGGAATACTGGTTATAGGAGGAAACATAATGAAACAGATCTTCTTGACAGCAATATATTACATCCTTAGGTATGTATTTTTTTTATACCACTGGAATATCAAACAAATTGACGGTACTAGGCGCCAAAAATATTAACAGCGTTTCTTAAATCATCTTCTGTGTCTTGATATTAGAAAATTGTTATGTTTGAAAATTCGAAACTTGCAAGACTAATTATTATTTTTGAACATTAAATATTTTTATTGGGTTTCAATCGATTTATTGATGTAAAATATTAAAAAATAAAAGCAATTTTAATTGACAACATTTTAATTAAAAAACACCACAAAATCTAATGGACATAAAATGCCACATTCCGGTTTGCTTAAGTACATCGTCGCTATGTAACTATTATAGCTTTAGGTACTTTACATACATTTAATACTTCAAATTCTGTATTTTATACTAGCAATAGATACCTACACATTATATGAATAATAATTAATATACAATTCTTTGCACAATGTGTCGTCGATTAATTCGACATAATATTCGAATTATAATACTATATTACAAGCTTAGATTGTAACAAAAAAGGGAAGGTACAGTTCAGGCTTAAAGTGTGAGTTAATACGTGGTTCTACTAAATTCAGTATTATGCATTTGTTTCACTTAAGTTCGTTAAGATAAGTCTGTTATAGAACTGCGATTATAACTGTCTTTTGGTAGTATACAACATTATTGGAATAAATAATTTCCTTTCATAGTTGCACTTAGACCTACTGTATATTCCCTTTTTTTAAATCTAAGATTACAAGTCCGATCACTGTCAACGAGAACATCAAATGACAACAGCAACATATTTTCAATAACACAAAAATATTTTTAAGTAACACTAGTGCCGATTAATGTTTCTGTTAATAGCCCCAAATTAGAACATACCAACATTTCAATAATAACACGAAGTATACAAAAATGAACATTGAGCTATATCTCTCTTAAAAAAATATATATAAATATCAGTACTTTCTCATTTGGATATTATTGTGATTTCCGAACATTACATGTCTTAGAGTCATTGGATCTTAGTACAAAAGTATTTATAATCACGAGTGGTGTATGGTAGATGGTCTCTTGCCATAAGCAGACGACAATACTAGTACAGAGGAGACACTGCACTGTGTAATCTCATTTTTATTGTTACAATTGTGTTGTAATTCGAGTTACAATCGCGGCAATTCACTTTGATAACTCATTCAAGTCCACAGTCAAAGACACTGATGTACGTATTTTATTGATAAATATAAAATCTGCGTAAAATATGTCGTGCTTTATGTATTTATGATACTAGATACATTTAAACTAAATGCGTAGGGACAATAATTAAGTATCAACTCTTTCTACGCACATAATGTAAAAATGTCGTTTAATATTGTCGTTGACAATGATCATAAATTTCGTATTCATTATTGATAGTTATCTATCTATATTCAACAAGTTCTGATTGTATATGACGTCATTGATTTTTTTACATTTTTAAACTATAAATGTTTATTACAATACGTTCAAAAATTTATACCAGGTTTCATAATAACAGTTTAAATAAATTTGTTTATGAATTATTATTTTAAGACTTGAAATTCGATGATGAAAAATATAGTAAAAGGCTGAATTAATGTTCTGTAATAGTTTTTTTATTTAATAAACAATTTTCTGAATTTTGTTTGTACCCATATTGTGTAATAAAAATATTAAAATTTAAACATGTACCCATGTTTAAATTTGAATACTTTTGGTCTATTATTGGTATGTACATTAATATATTTCCCTCATTATACACAATACGCTTTATTATGTAATTTAGTAAGGTTTATATGTAGAATGTACCTCTGTAACCACTAAATAATATGTAGCGTCGTAATTTTGTATGTATTTTGATTAAAGTAGCCAGTACAATACACAATAATATAAATATGGATTAAAATCATGGATGTAAATTTAATAGAATTGGTAGGTGTCGAGCTCACGTAGGATCTGTATATGTGTACATGTGACACTGATATTAGGGGCAATATTGAAGAAGTGGTGTATGTCCTGGATCGCTTTCTAAATCGTCTCGTGTGTTGCGATTTACATAGTGTCCAGCTGAAATTGAAGATATATATATTAAATCTATTCACTTACGTTATTGTGTAATGAGGGTAGGTATATAGTAAATAAAATCAGATAGGAACCTTCTTGAGTAACGCTTTATTTTTTTTTAAATACGTATCAAGTCTACCTAAGATCATTAAAAAATTAAATACTGTTGCATATGAACACATAACTGCGTTCAATTAATCTAAATATTTTCTAGAGGTGTTTCTTCGTCTATTACAAGATACACCTGCTACCAGCAAGTAAATCGGTTGATGTAACTGTATTATTAGTAGAATAAGATTGAGTACAAATATAATTATGAAAATCATTCGAGTTAGACTCGTGAAATTTTGTATCGATAAAATTATTTCGCCGACACCATAATGATATAAGTACAAGTTAAAGATTTTTCTTCCTATATTTCTGGTTAAATTTCTAATTTTGTCCTATTAATAATTATTGCACTGTTTATGAAAATAATTGAAAATATTAATTACCTGAACGTGACTGAGTAAAATTTAGACCCCATATAAATTACTTTTATTTACAAGTTAATAAAAACAAATGGCTTAAACGTTATCATAACTGTATATAGTTTAGGATTAGATATGCATAGCATGAATCTGATTATTTAGGCCCTTTGTACAGTACATAGAGAAATAATTTAAAATGATAGTAATAAATTCTAAAAATTAAATGTAAATCCAATGATGCTATCCATGTAGGTCTAATCATGAAAAACTAATTGCCATAATTTTATTCAGCCTCATACACCGCTGACAACAAAGTTATTGGTGTTACTAGTGTTCTTGATTAATAAATACACATTCAAGGTGGTGTGGACTCCAATAGTAATTCAACCAGAAACTTGAAATAGTTCCTCACACGCGGCTCTTAGGTATATTATAGTTAATATAAATGTGGGAATGCATTTATTTCCACTCTATCAGATCTATTGACTTACAAAGCACGTGTATTCTATAACTATATTATTAATTATACAACATCAATTTATACATTATGTCCTTAATATATATGGGCTTATAATATCACATATTTCGGACGAGCTGCCCGTAACTCACAAATATGTCGATAGGTGCTGTTGGTCAAAAGTCTGATTTCTAAAATAACACACTACAGTATCAAAGTTCATCAATTTAATACTGTTATTGGGTAGAAACCATAACCAACAAGCGAAGGCAACCAAGAATCACCAGAACGCGATGGCTTCTTAATATTTAGGTAGGATTATAAGCGAAATTAGTGCGATTGTTCCACTTTTGTGTCCTTATCCACACGTCTTGATAAAAGTTCATGCAATGACATTAATTGTTCATTTTGTACCGTCACAAATCACTTTGAAATTCTCCACTGACTATGTATACTGTTAAGATTCCATGTTAAGTCTATTCTTACACTCTTCACAATTAAACGTGTATAGGTTCATCGTCATCATCCTCGTCGGAACGTCTTTCGATTGAAGGTTCTCTAGGTGAGCGCGGTGGTGGTGCAGGACTGCCTGGGTCCAAATCTGGGGACGGTGTGCGTCGGGCTTGGGCATAATACCCTAGAGCCCCAAGAGCTGGTGCGCCTAAGGAGCCCAGATGCGCCGAAGGGCCAGGTAGTCCTAGCCCGAGAGGTGGAACGCCAGCTAATGGTGCTCCCGGATATAACCTGTTTGTTAAATAGTACAATAAAAATCAATTCATTTTTTATCTTTTCCCATAGTTACTTACTATTATACTGACCCTATGCTCAGCCAAATTTAGTCCTCTTATATTATTTAAGTTAACGTCAACCACAACATTGACAATTAATTTAATATCATCATTTCGAATGAATAAAGCTAAAAATTGAAATAGATGAATAGGAAATTTGGAAATTAACCTACCTGAATGCTACTTGCACTATTTGCATTATGAAATAAAAAAATATATATAGATAATACTACTTATGACATATAATAAGGTACAATTATATAGATGTGCAGGTATATTCATAATAACGTTCATATTTATAGATTAGATCTGAATGTATTCGTATCTATTTATTCTAAAGGTCAGAAAAATATATTTCATTATGTACATTCCTATAGGTATTATTTCTGTAACTAGCGATCCGTCCTTGCTAAGGATGGAATAAGATATAAAATGGAGCCTACATTTTAGTAGTGTAATCATTAAGACTTATATATTAGTTTGTTTTAAATATCTCTAATGTACTGTACATTCAGTACATAAAGTCTCATCGGCTTGTTATAATTTAATTATATGAGATGAAACTCACCGATATGGCAACGGTTTCTGCAAAGTGTTAGCAGTGGCAGAGGCAGCCGCGGCGGCTGTGGCCGCAGCTTGCCTGTAGTACAGGTCTGCGGCAGCTGGAGCCGGCTGGGCCGGGTACGCTGGTACCCCGGCCCAGTATCCTCCGTATAGACGCTGGAACGCAGCGTAGTTACCAGCTTCCGCGAGTAGTTCCAAACCAACTGCTGTTTGTCGTTTCCATTTCGTCCTGTGCAAAAATTACAATATTCCATGTATACATATAAAATATTAGTAACAGAATTTGCTGTGCTTACAAATAATATCTATTTTTTTATATTATGAAAAAACCACAATGATATTATGCCACATAAAGTCTTCACGGACCATTAAAACACAAATAACTGGATACCGACCGTTATGCGAATCCCACAAGAAATTACACAAAAACGATTTATGTCACATTAGAAACTTAAATCGACTCTAAAATTTTCTAAACTATCATTTACGGACCCCCCTAACCATAGATCACTAACCCTACTAACGTTTGTGACCCCAATCGTCATCAAATTTGTCACAGACCACTCGAAAGTACAATGAAGACATCGCAATGAAATGAGTAATAAAAAATATATAAATAAAATAATAAATTTGACAAAACGTCTTGGGCACTAGTGTGTTCATTGGTGCGTGGTCGGATGCTTTAATTTGATTTATTTGATTCGCTTGTAAAAGGGTGAACTCGTATAAATTACTTGATATTGCTCTGAGGACGGCAATGATTTTTTCAACCTCTCCTATCTGCTTATTACAAAGTAACATTATTGAAGAAAGTTTCGAGATTACAAAGATTGACGACATCTACCATGCACAATTTTTCAAATATAATGAGACTTTTATCGATATTATTTCAGAATATATGTTGTACTTAGTTAGATATTCTTACAACAAGATTTTATTTGTATTTTATATATTTCAAATTTTCTGCAGTAGGTATTTAATTAATACTATCACTAAGATCGTTATCAAGACGTATAATATTTACCTATCGTTCAAAAAAAGTTATAAGGATTTTGAGATTATTTTAAAATCGTTGCATTCATATCATGAGATAATGTAGTACTTTTGCTTCTTCGAGTGCATCACATCACAGTCCATTTCCACATTAATTCATCGCTTACTTGGGCTTATCAATCGATTTTTATAGTACTTTTGAGCATAGCTTTTCACTTTAGATTATTTCAACATAAATAATTCAGATGAAGTTCAGATGAAGATTTTATTAAAAAAATAATCATCTCTGTCAAAAGATCTGATTTGTAGGTAGAAAAAGATTGGCCTATGTCATAACGATCGATATAAATTTAAAAATTCTTAAATTATAATATTTTTGCACTATTATTATTTTTCTTTATAATAAAATATAACTATAGACTCCCCTATTTGTAAAATTTAATTAAGTTTCCGAGTCTGCGATTACTTATATTACAAGTAGTTGTGTTATTGTCATCAAGTGAGCTTTTTATTAATTCGAAGGGTGCTATTAGTGCATTGCGCATTGTCATTATATTATTATTAGTAAGATCCCATTGTTGGCGCGCCACCGCGGTTGGGGTTGTGGTTGTTAGCAGACGGTTCAGTGACTACCTCGTTAATTAATTTCTATAAATGGATCATTTAATTTTATTAAATGTAAATGAGGGGGAGTTAGGATGTTTCGTTTCTCCTCTTCTATAAAATGATTAATGTGATCTTATTTATTATTTGTCAAAGCAATAAAACGTTTTTAGTCTATTGCCTATTGATGTCCATTCTTCTGCAGATGCTTAGGTATATATAATTACTGTTATACACAGATGTAGGTTTTGCTCGTTTAAATTGATAACTAAAAGCTGAAATACTCACAAAGTGGTGTTTAATTTAAATAGTGATCCTATTAAGTTGCCAGTAGCTAGTAGCTGATAGACAGAAAGCAGCCGTGCTCACATTAATCACATATTATGACGGGTTATTCTTAACGAACGTCATTGAAGAGCTCTTATTTAATTGTCAAGTGTTGAATGAGAGGCAATCTGCTCAGTGACACTATTCTTTTTATTGCCACCGCGGCTACGAACAAAAAGCTCTCGGAGAGCACTTACATTTGGACCACTATCTCAAGATCTCTCAACAGATAGTATGTTTCTCTCTTTCTACCTTTTGTCGAGTGTTGTCGAAGCGAGTTTTTACTGTCTCTGTCTTACGTCCCCCAGTGGAGTCTGATACGCTCCGCCCAGTGGTTTAGTGATTTGATGCTGCGTGAACTGATTCAATTGTTGTTTGTGAAAGTCCGTCCAAAAACGCACCTTAACCGTTCAAGCTAAAGACCAAAATCGTCCGGTAAAACGTTCCCGCTTACGACCTCTCCGAAGGGGAGGTTGTTTATCTCGATTTGGGTTTTTGGACGACGTGATGCGAATTCAGCTTGTATATCCGGCAAACAAAGAGCACTTTCATCGATCCGAACTGTTTGTGCTCGAGTCGGCACTTGGGCCGTTTCGCTTCGTAAACAATCGGTCCAATTTGAGCTTTATTCGAACGTTATTTATACGCTGCTTAGAAAGTTTCAGAACATGTTTGTACGAGTGTTCTTATGGGAATTGTTTGAAGTCGGAAAGCTTTTATTGTTCTGAAGGGTGTATGTAATACCTATGTTACATATCCCTCTTATATGTAATAATAGATATAAATATGTTAATAATAAATAAAACGCACAATTTATTATGTCACATTATTCAAATATGTTAAACAATGTTAACAATATTTTCAATTCATTTAAAAGAGGTGATTTTTTTATGAAATATAATGTAATAAGTAACACCGAACACCGAATTGAGATTCAATTTTGATATTTTATATAACTAATTGCAAGTACCTGTACATATAGGCTCACTTGTGTCTAATTACTATTAAAGCACTTAGTTTGGAATGATAGGTATTTTCGACTGTTTTGTATGGCTTGTGAATTAATCCTGGATGGATGAAAGGGTTCATATAGATTCACTTTTCAACTTTAAGTAATTTGTACAAATTTACTGATAATAATTTCTGACGTGACTTCAACTATATGTATAAGACTAAATATTACCATGCCTTATTAAGCAGATTTAAAACTGCCTATTTTCTAGGCAGGGCATATAGTTAATAAACATAATACTCATACTAAATTAATGGCCATAGTCATTATCTACCATCACGATTTGAATATAAAACGTTCAAATTACAAACTCCGAATAAACCAATCCGATTATTAAAATCCGGCTAAAGCTGAAATGGCATTGTGGTATAATGATTAGTGTTTAAATGATAAACCTGGCGACCTAAGTGTCCTTGGTTCGATGCTCATGTCCCTGAACGTGTAATTTGGCCGGGTCTGCGTTCAACTAAGCGATTAGAGGATTTCTTGGTAGCTACCCACAGAATCCGCGCCGTGTCATTACAATGCGGCGACACACGTATCGAATTTTGATATACATGTGTAATTATTAATATCGCATATCAAATGTCATCAAAGTGTTCCCCTAATACCTACTTATATATTGTAGTTTAAATCAAGGTAGTACCTAAAGTGACATACAAAATATTGATGAAATTTCTTTTTTATACCTTAATGATATGCTACCTATCGAATTGTACTAAAAAGTTTACTAATCACAGAATTATTTTAATTATGATTTGATATAGAGATTTTAATACGATTTTACACCGTGATTATGAAATTTGGCATTTAAACATAGCAGTTAGCACGGAGAAGAACATTTGTTACTTTTTATACCTGTCAGTTCTGAAAGTCACAAACATGAATAAAATTACTACTATTTATTATATCTACTAATTATTGTTAAAAGTCCTTCTTTTGAAAGAAAGAGAAAAATGGAATAATTATACCATAAGTAATTTATATATTAAACTATGGACGTTGCTTTTAGCAAAATTAACTACTAGCAACTACAGCGATTCTATAGTTTTATAGAAATGTTGAAAGACTAGTAGGTACCCATCTATGTGAGTATTTACTGAGACATTTCTTCTATATACGCAAACATATGTTTTCAATGTAATACTTTATTACATTGAAAACATTATATTTTACATATTAGAGATTAAAATCGGTTTATTTTAATATGAAAATAAATAAAAAAATGTATGTGAATATTTGTAATCTAATATTCGTGTAGTGTGTACAAACCACAATCACAAAACTCAAAAGCAGAAGACGCACACCGTTTAGGTAAATGATACAAATTTATACCCAACTCTAAACCGTTTAGTCCTTGTGGATTATTTGCAACAAACCTTAATAGTTTTAGTTTGCAAGTCATCATTCATAATGAGGACTGATATAGAATTTGAATATTTATGTATTTTTTTAATAAAAAAATTATGTAGGTATTTCTTGTGTTTGTGGTGACGGACTAAAGACATAAGTATATGAGATGTATCTACTTCTTTTCTTCGGCACGAAGGCCGAATAGGACAATAAAGCACATAATAGGAATTCCCCAAATAAACTTGTCACAATACTGATTGCTTAACATGGTAGGTTATTTGTAGTTTACATATACATTAATGTAGGTATTCTGTAGTCTACCTTTATTTATATCTATAGTGGAAACAAACAATGGATCGGGCAAATCCAAGTGACTATAAATAATAGTTAGGTGCTTATAGGTCATTGGGCTGTGTATCATTCAATAATTATTACAGACTGCGTCATTAGGTAATCGCTGTGGATTACTCGGCGCCGCGAAGTAAACGTTGATAAACGGCTGCTTCTGCAGGCCTATTACAAATTTATTACTCAATTTCAAACAGACGTTCAGAAAATGCATAATTCCATTCATTAGAAGGTGAATTGTTTAATGATTGAGAGCAAAGTCATAAAAAATCAATGAATTTTAAAACTTATAGCCATATAAAAAAAAAATTAAGTATTAATCTAGGATAAACCATTAAAGTTTGATACTTTATTTTAATACTATTGTTTACTGTTACAAATAAATATATTAAATTAATCTAGATATAATAACATCTATTGTAATTCTTATAGTGGCTGCTATTTATCATTTTATATTCACTAAGAGCAATGAACAATGCTAATTATTAATTAATAATATGAACCGCTATAGAAAGCAATTTCAATAATAGTATAGCCGTCGTGCATCAAATTCACGTATACACATGATTGCTTATTCAAAATAACACATTACA